AACATTACATGGAACTGTTTCTTTCAACTTAAGTGCAATCCAGTTTTATCAGCAAACAGCCAGTGTCACTTCAGGTTTTCATTCTAATCCAGCAGGAGCTCAACACCTGATCAATAATTTGAGGACGATCTAAAAGCAGTTGATTAAATTGGTGTGTCCCTGTTCAGTTGAAATGAAAACCTGCAGCCGCCAGCGTGCAGATCAGTTTGGACATCTCATTCTTAAGGAGTAATTAATAAGCGCTGCTTCCAAACCCTGTACAATCACAGTGTTTCCTGCAGTCCATGCACTGCACATTTCAGTGCCTGCTCCAGTGTCTCCAAACGCTCCTCAACAACCCCCTTAGTTAATAAAGAAACCCTAGAGAGAGTGCAGCACGGCAGAGAAAACATTCAAACACATTGTGCAGGGCTATTCCAGAACCAGGACTGGAAAACACCGACATAGGAACTGGTGCTTTAGTGGACATTATTACATCATCTGATATGGAAGCAGATATTGATCTCTGAGCTCACAATGATTTGATTCAATTCCAGCTCTTCAGGAAATAATAAAATACGATTCAGTCCATCAGGCTGAATCTGGTGTTGAGTAAACTCATTTACTTTTACAGCATTTACCTACCTCTGTTCAGCTATTTTGGTATAATTCAGAATTATTTCAAAATCATGTTTAAAAATAGAAACACAAATGTAACAGTTGTGGAATATAGACAAGAATATCAAAACACTTTTTTTTTCTTTTCATTGAACGTAATAGATTACAAGGTTTTAAAAATCAATGTAGCAGAATGGACAGAGACGGAAGAGACACTGTAGTTAGTTAATAATTATTAACCCAGTTAATACTGTTCCATACAGTCCGTAACCAAGGTGTAAAATACAGGCAGTCCTGCAGGGACTGGGACCCCCCATTTAACCCTCTGACCCCCTGAATGTCTGAAAATCAAAATTCTGGGGTGCCCCAAAAATGAACTTATGACATTATGCTGTCTGTAAAATAGACAAATACAAATTCAGGGAAAGGTCGTTATTTAGCTGCTTCACCCACAATCAGCGAGTTTCAGTCTTTGGTGTTCTTAACTAACTAGACATGGAGCACTGGTCTGCCTCAGGGTGGCGCTGTAGCAAATTGGTTCACCTGGTTGGTCCTTCATAGCCATATGCTCGGGATACCTCTGAAAACTTTACAGTGTGCTGTAGCATATTTATAAATCCGACAACCTGCCTAATTTCCCAAGAGACTTGAGTGAATTGTTACTCATTTGTCAAACCAATGACAAAAGAGGAGATGCGTAAGATCTCCGTTAGTGTGTGAAGGAGCGCATGACCAAACTAGAAAAGACCATTTCCAAAAGAACATTTGTAAAAGCAAACATTTTGCTGCCATTAAACCTAGCATCAGTGCCTCTGTGGTGAGCGAGTTAGCAGCCATTTAGCCAGCCAACATGGGACCCCCTGAATGCCAGGGGGTATTTTGCACACTGTCTGTAACAGCGAAGTGCTAATAAGTAAGTGTGCAGGCTGTTTAAAACAGCCTGAGGTGACACAGCTAACTACACTCTTAAAATTAAAGGTGCTGAAAAGGGCTTATAGAAGAACCACTTTTGAAACATGCTTCTTTAGGAAACCAAAGGTGGGTCTTCTATGGCATTGTTCAAAGAACACTCTGCAGCATTTTTTAAAGACTGTATGCTAATCTATGACTAACATCTTGTATTTAACACCAAAAAGGGTTCCACTATTGTTACGAGTCATAGAACCCTTTTGTACCATACAGTACCCTTTTTACTGAGCTTATGAATAAAATAAGGGAGTTTTACTGATACATTAATGTTTGTTTAGCAGTATTGTTTACTTTAAGTGTTTTTATACAGCAGAATCCTCAAGTGATGAGTTAACACCTACAGTCTTCATTTAAATCCAGCAGGACATAAAAGAACAAAGTGATTGTGAATTCAGCTCTGAGGATGTTGGTGTGTACTGTGAAATACATTATTCTTTTAGAGCTCTACTCAGTCTAGATGTATGTGTGGACTCACCCCTCTTTAACCTCTGCTCCAGGTGAAGGAAAGGGTCTGAGCTGTTGTCACAAATTATATGTCACCAGTGAGAAGAGCCCCAGAATTCAGCGCTTGACTGATTCTGTATAATTTAACAGAGCACTCAGCACTGGGTCGATGCCCAGATGGCTGAAAATCTCTGTCCACCTAAATGCTTATCATATTCCGCATCACTTTGGACTATAGCCATACTCATTTTCTTCTTGAATGCATGTCATTTAGAAATGATAGAGAGCACAATATCTGTATGTTCTTAACCCTTTGGAAGTATACGCTATCAGTTCATATGTTAACATAGTAATGTGATGTATGTGGACGTCTTGTATAGAGGGTGTTTCTAGTGAGGGTGTCTTGTGGTGGTTAGTTCTTGTAGTGGGCATGCCTTGAGTGTCTTGTAGTAGGCATGTCTTGTGGTTGCTTCTCATAGTGAGTGTTTCTTGTAGTGCATCATGATTAGAGTAACAAAGCATGTTAAATGCGTTCAGACATGTATTAAAAGAAAAAAGCTTCTGTAAAATGAACTGTAGGTGAAAAAATAAAAGCAAAAAAAACAAACAAAACAAACAAAATCACAAAGAATGCTGGGAAGTGCCCTCCCTCTCACAGCAATATTCAGAGACAGGCTGCTCAAGACTGCACAAAGTACGGTCACTTTTTCAGTATGGCTTGCAGAGAACAACTAATTACTGTAAAATCCAACATTTAACTTTTAACATTTTAACTTTGACAGGAAGGTTGATTTGTTTCTCCCAGAATGCATAATTTTTGCCGCAGTATGCTGTATTTAAAGAATACAATTGATTACTAGCGTTTCTGCTGTAAATTTACATGAGTTCTCTACTGCGGACCTATTTTGGTGCACTTTACGATTGCAAGAGTGCACTGGATGCACCTTACTGTGTTTTGGGACATCATTACAAAATGGGCAGACTCTCAAAGTAGTGCACCATATAGTGAATAAAGCATGGTTTCAGGCAAAGCCCATGTCTTGTGTTGAGTGTGTCTTCTAGGGGGCATGTTTTCTTCTCTTCTCACAAATAGATATTGTTGGCTTACTGAGACACAGCAGTTACATAACAATTAAATCACTAGTTGTTCCCACTAATGTTACCCAGCTAATACTGTCCTGTACAGTTCATAACCATCAAGTGCTCATGTGTAATTGTGCAAGCTATTAAAAACAGCAGCCAGAGGTGATGCAATGACAAATGCCTTTTATTGCAGTCTTCGGGAGAAACTGGAGATAACAACGTTCAAAATCTGATCCTTTAAGCACTGTAGGTCGGTCGAGAAATGATAGAAAAAAGCCCAACTCCACAGGTCAGTAGAGACGTGCCCTTTCCAATTAACCAATGGATCGCATTGTTAGCCCTCAGGAAATGTGCAGACCATGAAATCACCGGGCTCCCTACCTGTTGTCTTCTCTGAGGTTCCCATGTTATCACTGTCATAATGACGTGATCAGCAACTAGTCCACAACAAGCTTAAAGCATCATTACCAAGGAGTAAAGTGAACTAGTTGTCTAGTCTGTGCAACCCCTCATTATGCTAATTCATTAATACTGTCAATGTACCAAAACCAGTAAAGTAAGCCACCTTTACTACCTTTACTGTAGGTGGTGCTTCAGTTCTGTCCTTCAGACAGAAGGTTTTGCTAGAATGTAAGGCTTGTTATTTGATGCTGTACTACACCTGAAGCCGCTGAGAGTCTGTTTACACCTTGTGTTTTGTGTCTGGTTTGACTGGATAAACTTTGGCCAGATTCCATTTACACCTTTCACTAAAATGTGTCCCCAGAGAGTCCAGATGATATCTGATCTGTACTATTCACACATGAGCAGCACATCAACACCTGCTTTGTTTCCATTTTACTTTTGGGTACTTTTTTCACATTACGACATGACTGGACAACACTTCTCAGCCTGGCGTGCACGAAGGCTTTTGGTTTAGGGAGCCCTCACATATCCTCCATCTTTCGTTTTGTTGTTTATCCTCTCACATGTTAGTCAGTGTTCGGTAGACACATTTCCGCTCACGTCATTATATACGGAGAACGAAAATGCGTTCCATTTATGCTTGTGTTAAATGTGATCAAGATCTGTCACTGCCCAGCTCCACATGTAGTTTGGGTGATTTGATCGTAATCCGAACTCACTGCGTCCTAGGGGTGTTTGCACCTGGCTTTTCTTGCGGTTAAGTGAAACGCGCGTTGATGCAAGGGGTAAACAGCCCCTGAGAGCTGCAGGAGAACAGCGCTGATGACTGCAGTGGCAGAAGTCGCACTGGTAAAACTGAAAAACTAAATCCATGTATTCACGGCTGAAAGTTCACAATCCAGTCCATCATTTAAGGATCCCCACCTCTGCTTTCCACACGTGCCTCCGCCCACTACCTTGAATGATTTTTTTCTAGGTATTTCTTTGCATGATTTTCAGCAGATATAATACTGGCTGAAAATTTGGCCAAAAAAATAAGACACCTCAGCAGACAACATTCAAGCCACGTAAGAGCTGTGGCAGCCTTCGAGTCTGGGACGTGCATTTAATGACTTAAAGCGCTGCCTACGTAGAGAGCTCAGCAGCTACCGCACTCTCACCAGGAGAGTGCTACACTCTTCACTCCTCACTCTTCACTCTTCAGTCCGGGCGGCCTGGCGAGGCGCCTCTTCTCCACGTAAGAGAACTAGCACGCGGGCCATAACGGGCTAATGGGCTGCGTGATTTATTGCGCGAGCTCCAACGTGGTGTGTGTATCAATGCGGTACTGAGAGACTGTTGACAGACTCCGCTTACCCGACCCTCCCCCCTCCTCCTCCCCTTCCAGCACCACCAACAACTCACCGCCCTTGGCCGCGCGCCACAAAAGCGATCAGCACGCCGCCGCTGGCTCACGGGGAGAGTGACGTCGCGCGCTCTCGGCTGCGCTGCGCTCGTTGAGAGTCTCGCGGACAGGACGCTTTCAGAGCCGCCGCTGTGGAGGAATCCGAGAGGGAGGAAAAAAAGGACTGACGGACAGAAAGACGGAGGACGCGAAGGTGAAGACGATGTGAGGAGGGCTTCTGGGGTGCGCGAGAGCAGCGGTCCTAATGGGTGAGTTCATTTAGTTCGTTTTATATCCAGCACTCAGTTCAGCATCAGCGCGCGAGACTGTCCGGACAGAAGAGTTTGAGAGATGTGTGTTCTTCTCTTTTTCACCTCTTTTATCGCAGATTTCTACAATATGATTCTGTTTTCTGGTCTTTCATATCGTACGTTAGTGTATTTCATGCGCTCCTCGCGCTCAATGTGGAGAAAGTCACGTAAAGAAGAAGGGCACGTGGAGGCGGTGTGATCAGCAGGCTCGTTAACAGATCACTGCTCTAATCAGGGGGCTGGCAGCGGGCAAAGGGACCACTTCTTTTTTCTTAGTTCCATTAGTCATGTTTATAACACAGTGATCAGCTGGGCTCTGTGGTTCGAGGCGCTGTTTGGAGATGTGTTGGATTGTCTGCTCCTTCACTTCTGCGTCCTGTCCTTAACATCAGACTGGGTGATTGTGATTGCAGCCGCTTCAGTATCTCTATTTTCGCGTCTCTGTTTTCCCCGGTGCGAAATCGGACACTTCTTTTTTTCCTCCCGCGCGCCACCGTCATTAATTACGCCGCGCCAATTACGCGCGCGTCTGATTAGCGGACTCACAGTGCTTCGTTAAACAGGGCATCTGCAGTGAGGTAGGCTCCGTGGGGTTGAAAGAAAGCGGTGTTGCTCATGGTCACCCCTAGGTGTGTGTGTGTGTTTGTGTGTGTGTAGCCTAAAGCTGACCGGAGGCACCAGCACGATGTCCTCGGACAGAGCGCAGACTGCTGCTGCCACTTGTTACTGCAAACGGCGCTCGAGGCTGGAGAAACGGATGAGCTTTCCTCGGGTCAGTTAATGAAATGAAAGGGTTTAAAGTTGCAGGTTTGCTGCGTGCCAGTGTGTGCGCGCGCACGTGTGTGTGAGTGTGGTGACATTTTGAAGGTTGTCGTTGGAACGAGTCCATAAAGGTGCATCATTTATGGTGAGGAGAGATAGAAAGGGACAATGAGAGAGGGGGGGAGGTGGGGGTTGGGGACGAGAAAGAAGAGACATAGCGATATCTATCAATCTATCTATCTTTTTATATATATATATATATATATATATATATATATACACACACACACACACACTAGACAGAGGACAGAAAAAGGGATAATCAGGGGGGAGAATGAGAGAGAGGGGGATGAGGGAAAGGGAGAGAGTGAGGGAAGGAGGGAGAGAGCTTATGAGAGAAAGGGAGAATGAGAGAGGGGGAAAGAAAAAAGTGATAGAGAAAGAGACATAAAGAGAAAAAAGGGACAATGTAAGAGAGAGAGGAGACAAAAAAACGAGAGTGTGAGAGAGAGAGAGGAAAATGAATGGAAATGGAGGTGATGTGGTGATTGTATGAATATAAATGGTGGATGGTGGTTATAAGGCAGCGCTGAGTGGTATATAGGTGGGCTGATGGTGTTATTCTCCTTGGGAATGGATCCTGGATTAACCCGTTTTTTCTATGTTCTGGTGAATGGGTTAAAGGGGAATTAGCGGAGCCGAGTCACAGCGTTCATCTCCGTGTCCTGCTATTAAATTATATTCCCCAGCAAAAACCTCACCGACCCCATTTAAACATGCTTTTAAATCTCATTTGGAAAGATGAAACCAAAGGAAAACCTTATCCTGTTTTATCGTGGGCCTGAATCACTTGTGTGTCCCTGTGTGTGTGTCTGGTCCTGCTATATTTTGGTTATTGAATTCTTTGCTGGTTCCATCCGGCAATTAAGGTTATAAGGTCAGCCTGAAATCCCATGTTAATCCAGGCTTTCATCACTCAGGTGTAATTTCCACAATCCAATATTTGACAACAGACGCACACGCATGCATACAGAAAGCCCAGCCTGCTGCAGCTCTGACGTAGAGCTCACAGTACTTCATTGCGTCTCTTCTGGCTTGACTTCATAATCTCATTCCTTCATGTGTAAGCAGGAATTCTCATATCACATTTCTTCAGCGTATTAAACCAAAACTGATGATGGTTAAAGCGAAAGCTGAAACAGCAGGGCCACTCCCAGAACTACACGTTCAAACATGTTGTGAATATTAGACCCTGTGAATGCAAAGTGGAAGTTCCACACGCTGCCATTATCAAACTCTCATTTATCGTAGCGCTTTATTCCTGGAGCTTCATCAAGCAAAACGTTTGACTCTCATAACGTGCCTCTTCTCATTTGGCTCCATAAACGGAGCAGGGGAAGTGTACTGTATATTCGAAGTCCTGACTCTCGGTTGGGTCTCTTTCATGAATATTAATGGGCCGCTTGTTGGAGGCATTAAAGCTTGTCAGTACAGCTCAGGAGGAAGCACACTCAGTGTCTGTCAGGGCTGATTTTACCCACTGGGAACGACTTGCTGCTGAGAATGAATGGGGGCCTTCAAAATACCTTTCTTAAGCTTGTCACTGCCTGTTTGGTTTTGGAGCTTCCTATGTGTGTGTGGGATCATGTGTGCATATGCTTGTTGACAATAAAAGGAGATGCTGAAGATAGACACTTCTCCATCTCACACTGGTACTCTTTTAAAAATAAAGGCGTCAAAAAAAGCGTTCTTTGGATCGATATCACAGAAGAACCACCTTTAGACCCTTAAAGAACCTTTCAATGAATTGTTCTTTGCAAAGCTATTCTTGTTGGAGTGATATGTAACCAAATGAGGTTCTTTCGAGCGATACCATCGAAGAACCACTTTTTTGTTCCCTTGTAAGTTCCCTTAAGTGGCCCTGCTGTTTCACACTCACCTTAAACATTGTCGGTTTTGAAACCCAACAAATAAAGGTACCAAAAAGGTTCTTTGCACAGTGTCATAGAAGAACCATCTTTGGTTGCCTATTGTACCATTCGATGGATAGGTCTTTAAAAGATCTAAAAAAAAAGTGCATTTTTTGAGTAAAATGCGGAGTGATTGCACAGCTTAAGCTTGTTCCTAGGCAGTTGCTAGGGTGTTGCTGAATTGTAAGCGGTTGCTAGGGTGTTGCTGAACGGATGCTATGGTATTTTAATTGGTTGCAAAGTTGTTGATAAGTGGTTGCTATGGCATCCCAGGTGGTTGCTAGGATTTTGCTGGTTGGTTGCTCGGCAGTCGCTACGGTATCCCAGGTGGTTGCTAGGGTGTTGCTTGGTGGTTGCTATGGTTCCCTGTATGGTTAATAGGGTGTTACTAATGGACTTGGATCAACATGACACAAGTTGGGTGCACACATTTTTGCACCCCATTAATTCCTATGGAAATAAATTGTCTTTTAATGGTGACTGTACAAAACTGTACATCTGATAAAAATGCTGTACACAAACACCCATTAAAGCACACCACTCAGGAATGTCCTGATCAGACTGAGCATTCCAGAGTAGGAGTGGTGTCGATATCTCGAAAACTGTGGGGTGAGTTAGCAGACAAAGAAAGAAATGAACCAAGAAGAAGAAGAATAGTATACCATCAGATAACAGGAGTGTTGTGCATTGCTTTGCCATGTGTATTCACTAATAATTCAGAGTTTTTCAACTTAAGCTCTATGTGCTGCATCTGTGGTGTCACAAAATGTTCTTTGGGTGACGCCGTAGAAGAACCACTTATGGTTTGAAAAAGAAGTTTGTGAAGAGCCTTCTAAAGCAGGGGTTCCCAGCCTTTTGCAACTTGCAGACCACATAAATGACCACAAAAGCTTCTGTGAAGTTTTTTCTGATTAATCTGATAAGATAGCTGTTATGTTTGACAGCTACCAAGTGCAGGGTATCAGGCTGAAGAGAGGAAAGCTGCAAGTGTGCTCAAGACAGGTTTAGATACATATTCACTATATTTAGTCTACAGGTGATGGTGTAAATTGTTGAGTTTCAAGGCTTCATTTGAAACAGCATAGAGTGGTAGTTTTCATGCATGTTAAGCCCAGCGGATGCTGCTCACTATTTTCTTTGTTTTGGTTCATGATTGTTTTTCTTGGTTTACTCAGTCAGAGATAGGGTGGCTGTTTCACTTGTAGATAGTCCAGCCTCAGGATATTTCATTTAGAAAACACTCGTTTAATTATTTATCCATGATGGATGAGTGGATGACTAGCTAGCATTTTGCCAGAACAATCAGTGACGTTGTTGACTTGTTACTTTTGCAAGTAATCAAATATTTGTTACATTTGAAATTAGGTTTGTTTAATTGTCTATATTGTAACCATTTTTTTGTGGTAAAAAATGTAAAATTATAAAAAAAGATTGCCAACAGCCACCAAGTTCTACATGAATTTAAGGGTTCTTTAAACATTCTTCATACTTACACATGTCGTTTTTAAATTGGTTCTCCAAAGATCTATCAATTGAAAGATTCTTTAGGAAGAATTAAGTAAGAAGTACAGATCTTGGTTCATCTGTGACACCAAAACTCTTTTGGCACCTTTATTTTTTTATTTTTAAGAGTGTAATTGTGCACTACAGATGTGACAGACAGATATGAAGTGGAAAATTCTAGAGTCATTTAAAGAACCATATGCTGAATGATTCTTCTGTAGCATCTCTCCAAAGAATCCTTTTAGGCAGTTCTGTTTTTAAGAGTACATTGTTAACCAATGGAACTTCGAATGTACCATCAATTCTGGTTCATTGAAGAACCTTTCAATAGATGATTCTTTGAATGAGCCATTTTTGTAAATGAAATGTGCAAGTGTGAAGAACTTTTAAAAAGTTTAATTAACCTTTTACTTAATGTAAAGGTTCTATAATAATGAAAGCCATTTTCTATAAACCAAGAACTATTTAGGAACCTATTTTTTTTTTTTACCAGTGTTGCATCTTTACTTTCTTTTCTTTCATCCTGCAGAATCATAAACATGCTTTTGCCATTCAGTTTATGCTCTCAGACATAAATGGGTTTAGCCAGAGGCTCTGTGATATTAGATATTAACTGCCTAATTTATTTCTTTAAGGAAGCAATTCTGCGCTATGCAGACTGTAAGCATGGGGCAATCGATACAGAGCGACGGAATTACGTGCAGGATGAGTCTGCAGTCAGGA